GGAAAGTGGGCCGAGATGCTTGCAGATCACCATGCTGCCACGCTATCCAGGCATTGTAACAAGCGAAGGATTGAAAAAACACCACGGGTGCCAGCATTGGCCCGCGAGGGTCCGGCAATGCTGCATTCAGGTTCGCGGGGGGCCTTGCACAAGGAACGAAGATGAACCAAATGGGTCACAGGCCAAAGCCAGAACATACACACTTAAGACACCTCTTTTTCTCAGGGCAGAGCCACTGAATTTTCGAACCGGTCTCCTGCGTTCGGTTTGGGTCACAGCCTCCACTCGAAGTTCAACCTTGCAATGCTCGCAACTTCGCCTTCTCACGTGGATCCAAGTGAGCGAGTACCTACGACGCTTTGGCTGCACATAGGCATAACTTCACCCTTACTTCCAGCATTGACGCTTCGTGCCGTCTGCATGTCGTAGTCCGTCTTCTCGTCGATCGTCTCTGCAAGGACTGTCAGCAGACGCTGGATGGCCACATCCTGCCCAGCGTGAAGACATCGAGTTTTATGAAGACAGGATGCTGGCCTTGAGTGTTGCTGAATGTGCTGCGCCAGTGCGCTGCGAACTTTGGAGGACGTGGAACTCTCAGAGCGCTCGAGCTCAGCTTCCGACACTTCGAAAGGACGGAGTTCTCAATTTGCTGCTGGCTTGGAAGTCTTGGGACTTACAAATAACCTTCGCTTGGACAAACCAACGAGCACATTTTTGCAGAAGGAGCGGTGTTTGGCAGGATGTTGACCACAAAAGCAGCCTACTGACAAGTGCTGTGCCTCGGTTCGCTTTACACAGGCGCGCAGGCAATTGCGCAAGTCAGCCTCGGCATCTGTCAGCGTCGTTCTAGCATTCCGCATCTTCCCACCATCACTACAATGTTTGCAAATGCCAACTAGTTGGGAGTGTTGTGCCCTGACCTGAGCTTAGTATTGAATCAGCTGCGGCTCTGGCTAGATGTGCCACCACCCGCTGAACGATGCGTTCCTGGCCACGCATGCAGACTGCTCAAAGAGTGCAATGGGTGAAAGCTCCAAGCTGTTAATGCAAAGACTCCGTAGCCTGTCGTGCACTTCACATCTGTGATGCTATGCAAAGAACAGACAATGCCAAGCCATGCGCCAACTTCTTTTGCATCCACAGTAGGTCGCGCAGGCGCCAATAAAATTGGAATTGTGCTGAGGCAACAAAACATCGTTGCAAACACCATCTACAATCTACATGCAAGCCTGAGACATGCAGACTTTCCCTTCTCAGCGGAGGACCGCGACGGCTCAAAGCACCTGCGACGTTGGTGCTAGCATAATAATCCCTGGACCGAGCACGGTGTGTTCAGTATTGCAGGGATCGCAATGTTCGCAACCCCCAACCCCAAAGCAATGAAAAATAGTCCGCCAGAAAGGCATCCTGCATGTACCGGCTCCAGCACCAGGTGTGATAATGCCTCTCTATACCGCCTGCGGCACCTCTTAAATCTCTTAAGGTGGGAAGGCTGACCCCCAGCACATGCGCGCGGCCGTCGATGAAGGGTCGATGAAGGTTAACACCCCCTTGGAAGGGCCATTTGGGAGGCAGGGGCATTGATATGGTTGCTGTAACACTCTCTTCTATAGCACTCCCCGGACCACCGGACCACCATGAAAGCAATCCACAGCCAGCCTGAATGAAAGTGAGCAGCATCACATCTTTCTTTCAAAGGCCCTCGAAGCTGCAGAAATGCAGCCACAGAGCCGTATAACCGTGCATCTGCAAAGACCAAAATCACATTTTAGAGCACTGCTGGGTGCTCGCAACAAGAATCGCGCAGAAATGCATCCCTGAGGGACCGGGGGGGCTCCGGACTTCGTCCTCCGCTCTCCCCCCCGATCTGTAGTAATGCAATTCTGCGCGTTTTCGACGGAACGCTCACCCTGCAAAAGTGCTCTAAAATGCGATTTTGGTCTTTGCAGATGCGCGGCTCTACGGCTCTATGGCTGCATTTCTGCAGCTTCGAGGGCCTTTGAAAGAAAAATGTGATGCTGCTCACTTTCATTCAGGCTGGCTGTGGATTGCTTTCATGGTGGTCCGGGGAGTGCTATAGAAGAGATGTGACTCAGAAAAGACCCGTCAAGTTTGTCAAGTCGCGGTCTGCTGCGTCAGCTTTGTGCCTGTGGCGCTGCTGCGCACTGCGCTGGTAGGGTAGAGGAGTGCCTAGCGCTGGCTTCGGTATAGGTTGTTGGTCTTGGTAAGTGCGAGAACGCCTGGATCACACTGCTCTCTGTGTGTGCGTGTGTGTCCAACTTTGCTAGGATCGTGCGGGGCGGCTTGCAGCAGTGGAGGTTCTCTTCCCTCCACTGCTGGCTTTTCTGCAAATTTGCCGCCAAGCTGGTGGTACTTCTGGTACTTTGCAGTATGAAGGGTAGAGGGCGCCTTGTGGAGCAGAACGTGCTCAGCGTTTCCTACGGAGGTGTCCGTCCAGGCTAGTAAGAGCGAGAACACCTGAACCTTTCCTGCTGTGTTGCATGGAGCTGCTACGCCTGTTGAGTGCTACGCGGCAGGGTAAGGAACACCTGGCGTGGTAAAGATGTTTGGTCCTGGTTGGTAAGAGCGAGAACGCCGGGATCACCCGCTGTTGGCCCTGAAGGCGGTGGACAGTGAAGGAGAAATCCAGATTGCACGATTTCATGGTATGGGGTTCTGGCAGCAAGTTCTGAGGCTGCCTCGCAGTCTTGAGAGAAGCGCAGGGGAAGTGTCGCATAGGCGTGGGTACCAAGTTGGTTGAGAGCTTCAAGCCTCCCAGCTTCAGGGTCTGGGCTGAGCACAGCGAGTCACGCCCTCGGACTAGCTCCTTAGCCTGCCCCTGCCTTTGGGGTGAGACTGAACCGCCTTAGTCAACCCCCTGCCCCTCAGTAGGCCACCTACAGGCACGGGCAGGCACTGATTCATTTAAGACTTCGGGCAGGGCCCTGCCCAGTGCTTCGCGTGCTCTGAGAGAAAAAGAGTGCATCAGAATCCAGGACAACCCTACGACTTTCACCGCGAGCAAAAACAAACACGCAGCAGTTCAGCACCTGTCGGCGAGACACCAAGCTCGCAGTGGGTAGCGGGAGGCCAGACAGTTGAGTCACCGAAACTTCACCTGCCATCAACTCGAGCTATAGATGCTCAAAAGAACCCTAAGTTGCTCAGTCCAAAGACCTCGCACTCAGAGGACCCAAAGCAAGATGACAGCCCGCTCGCGCACACACCCCTGTAATCTTGTTGCAGAGAAAGTTCACAACATCACCACCTGTGTGAAGCAACTGGCACCCAGCGCTATGAAATGGCTCAAGATGCTTTAGGTCATCACAGGCACCTTGCACCACGTCTGCCATTGCCTGGAGATGCTTCCTCATGATACCCGAGCCCAGCCGTGGGATTCACGCAAGGGCTTTCAATGTCTTGGTCTACAACTTCTCTCAGCTGCACGCAAGACTCGAGTCTAAGTGAAGGTAGCGGATGGGCGCGCGGAAGCTGTGGGGAGTAACGGAAACCAGTTTTGCACACCGTGACGGAAACGGGCGCTGGTAGAAACAGGAACCGCGGACCCGAGCGTAACAGAAGCTATCACTCTTCGCCCGGCGGTGGAAACTCTTTTGTGGGGACCGGTTTTCGGTCCCTTGCTTTGCGACCACTCACGCTTTATGCTCATGCTTATGTCTCTTTGTTCGGGTAAGGGGAGTTAAGGATTCAAAAAGATTCACGAACTGAAGGCTTGCTGCTAAAGTTCATGTCCAAAGCAACCCTCGTCGTGAACTTCTGATGGCTACTAGTAGAGTCCTAGAGGTCCGAGAGCTGTGCGGCAAGGCATGCTGGAATCGTGGGTCTGAATCACTGTAAGTGGGGACCGGAAAGCGGTCCGTGAGCTCAGGAGCCAAGCAAAGATGCTGGATGTGAAAATAGGTCTTGGAGCCCTCCCCCCAGTTCCTGTTACGACGGCCTGCCTGCGGGCTGTTACGGGATCCGGCCGATTGCTGTTACGGTGTTGGGCTCGGTTCCTGTTACGGGTTCCCGTTACGGACAGCAGCTGCATGTGTGTGCAATCCAGGCTTTGGCGCCCTCGTCAGCAGCCCAGCGGGGCCCACTTGCAGCTTGGACCAGGTGACCAGGGCCTGGGCATGGGCATGAGCCCGTTCAAAGTACGGCAGTTGCAGAATGTGTTGCAGATCCGGATTTCAGAGTCTGCGATGGGGCACAAGGACAGGTCTTGGACCAGGTCCACAGTGCAGCTTCATTCGGGGATGCGATCGTTTTGATTGACCCCCGGTCAAAGACTGAGACTCGGAGTTTAGAAGGCCTCGGATGTTCGCCCAGACAGCCGTCGCTCAGCTCTCACTCTGGGACGGCCTGGCGATCGAGACTCTGTCGGAATCGGTGCCAGTGCCACAACATGCTAGCATCGTGAGCTTCGTAATGATTGCAGCGATTGCTGTGGAAAACTAATAGAATCGGCTCTCTGGTTGCCCTCCCGTCCATTTGGATGGACACGTCCTTGCCGTCGCTGCTTGCCTTGTAGGGCTGGGCCGCTGTCTGCATTGATTGGGCCTCCTTGTCGTGGGGAGTGCTGTCTTTACGCAGCACTGGCGCACTGGCGCGGAGCATGTTTGCTTTGGTGGAACGTTGGCCTGAGAGTTCACAGGTCGCTGTCCGTTCCACGAGTCGATGATGCAAAAAACTATTGCTACTGTACAGCGCCATGGCTCTTCCCAACATACCCTGTGTCGCTTTGGAAAAGCATCCAGAGTAATCAAGAGACTCAGAGTATATGGACTTCGTGAATCACTAGACTCTAGACTGACTAGTGGCAGCCTCAGAACTCACGACCCAAACCAACATTAAGCTCGTGCGAAGTCCCAAGTGTGGGGGCAGATACGATGCTCCAAGTTCACATGTCGTGTCTTACGAGCTATCAAATGGAAGGGCATGTGGCGCACCTCGAGCTCGTAACGTTTGATGCCGCGAATGCCGCTCTCCAATAGAAACTAACCACCGCCTGATGGCAGGTGCGGATGTTTCGTGGCCGGTCTAAGGTACCATCTGGCAAAACTTGCAACACGGCTCTTGCAGCATGCGACGAGACAGCTACGGAACTGCTTCGCTGCAGTGAGAAGGAATGCATCTTGGCACGGTCAAAGGCGAGGTGTAACACTCCTAGTTGTCGTATGTCGCTTGAAATCGAAACGTCATGTTCCACTGCCGGCCTCCATCGGACGACAGACGAGGAACACGCATGAAGCGCTGTGCTGAGCCTTGGGCAGATCACTGCACTTAGTCTCCCTCTGTTCTCGGCCTTTTTTGGCCGAGGCGGAGGCTACCGCTCTTGGAGCTCTTCACTGGAGCCAGGCCCTTCCAAAGAAAGGCGAATTCAAAATCCAGCGCTGCAGAGCCGCAGGGCCCGCCATGGTGCGATCGCCGCCAGGCCTGCAAGGTCTCCTCCACTCGCCCTGGCAAACTCTGCATGGAACTCGTGGCCTCAGGCAAGAAGAAGCTTCAAAGCTTCCTCCAAGAAGGAATTTTGGGATCTGGCACTGGGCACGCCAGAGCCACCTAGTACAATCCAAAATGGGTTTAGGACGGTCAGACGTTCAGATCTTCCCGTCGCCTGCTCGAGTCTCCGCGAATTTCAGCATGGCCAAGGCACGGTTGTAACCTTTTCAAGTTTGAAGTCGTAAGGAGACACCGAAGCTGCTCTTCACACTCAGGTCAAGGAACTGAACTCGTGAGAGGCGGTCTTCTCGTCTCTACCTGTAGCCTTGAGATTCTAAAAACAGAGCGCAGGAAGGTCATGGGAACGGCACTGCATGGCACGTCCCGTCCTGAGTGCCAGCTGGACCTGAACTCGACCGGTGGAACTCCTCTGCAAGGGGAAACGGAAAGATCCCCGCAGATGCGTCCCAGAGCCGTGCTGCGGGTGCCTTCGTGGCGTCCTCCAGGCTGATTGGCCCTAAACCCAAGCTGCTCGTGGAGCTTCCTGGAAAAACGAAGGCAAGAAGCAACACTACTCTGTGGCATGAAAAACGACACAGGATCATTGCAAGCAATTCTCGGATGCTGCACAGGGCCTGCAGTGAGCAGCCGTGCCGCACGCGCCTCTGCAGAGCCTATCCCTCAGCCACTTCCCAACCATCCGAATCACCGGCATCTGGCAGAATTCATAGAGCCTTGGCCGTCGGCCGCCGCGCTGCTCGCACCGGCTGATCCTGCAACGGTCTGTTGGTGTTGCTGCTGAGGCAGGTTGCCACTGCAACAGACTGGGGTTCAATTGCGCTCGCCTCCGTAAACCCTAAACCCTACACCGTGATTTCACCATTTCCCGGCTTGTTGAATCAATAATGCAGCTGGCAGATCCCGCCTTCAAGCGTCAGGAGGTGACTGTCAGATTGTCAATCGTCGATGCCAAACTCATCGTTTGAAATGCTCGTAATTACACTGGTTTCGCCATTATGGGTGAAGGAGGTGAGATACACATACGACCGTTCCCCGTGTTGAATTTTGCGGCGCAGCGAGTCAAAGAAGGCTCATTGACTCATTTGCAGATGTGCAGCATCATTCTAAGTTCTAGGCCTCTGCAGTCCTAGACCGCCCTTGTGGTGCTTCTGGCACTGGGAGGCTGTTTCACAACAGCAGCACCCACAATAAGACCATGACTATGCGACTATGTGTGTACACCCTGTGACCAAGGGAACCGATGTGCATGTGCATTGATTTCCACAGATAGTCGGCAGTGCGCCAGCGAGCCTTGCAACACGCGCTGCCAACAAAGGCCATGCTATAAGGTCGTGATATCTTTACGACGCCAAAGCTACGTGCCTTAGTGTTCCTGTCAGTGGCAGGCGAGTGCAAATGTACATCTAGTCTGCATCATGAGGTATTCAACAGGTGCAAGGATATCACTCAAATTCGAGATTTGCACGTGCGTGCCCCAGACAGTAGTCGTTGGGCGCATTGTCATTGTCTGCGCCATGGCTGCCTGGTTGAAATTAATACTCCCTGATCGCTTGAGATGTGGCTTTCTGGTGCGACAAGCAATCGCAGAGCAATTGCATCAATTGGTGGTGAGCGAATTCGAAGTGCGCATCTTGTCAGAGGGCCGAATTCGCCCCTTGCTGTGGACTCGCAATGAATCTGAAGGACCGTTGGTCACTCGGCATCTGAAAAAAAAGGGTTCCGCATTTCAGCAGGCGGCTTAGTTCTTGGCGCCAAGTGTTCTCTGCAGTGACATCGAAGCTCCGGTTTCGCTGAGCTTCCAGTCGCAGCCGATGGCTCCACTTTTGCGCATCTCCGCACCGTCTCCGGCTCTCCGCTCTTTCACGGGCCAAGGGCCAATATCAACGCTGCGCTTGTGACACGTGACATTCCGAGCCACAGCCGAGCGCTTTGCGTGTTTTGCTTTGTGTGTGTGTGAAGTCTCGTATCATACGACGTGTGTTGAGATGTGAACACTTCTCCTCCAGACAGAAAAATCCCTAACGGTGGCTCAAAACCTGCACTTTGGTGTGCGCTGCTGTGAACTTTCAGAGATACTTGGGCCAGTTGACTGAGTGATGCACGCGGCTGTAAGGTTCCGGATCAAACGTACTTTCGCAGTCTGTAGATGTGTGCTGGTGTGGCGTCTTGACCAGACGATTGAGCTAGTTTCAACCAAACGAGCAGAAGCAACACACGCGCACAGGCAGCACGGGGGTCCACAATTCTGCTAAGTGCTAGCTGCTAGATATGGCCGTGCATGCTGTCGAGATTCGCGCAACATCGCGGCTTGCTCAAGCAGACCACTTGCGTGCGACGGCCGAGGGTCGGCGTGACTGTAGCAAACTAGTCGCTCCATGTCCTGAGCAGATTGCCGTGGGGTGCCCGGCTGAGAGCCGGCCTGCACATGGCACTCAATGGCACGGGGCAAAGGTCAAACTCGGACGACTTCTCTCAGCGCCGTGTCCTTTGTTGAAATGCTGGGCGATGATGCCTCATCAAGCTGTAGTCGGCAAGCAAAGAAGCAGATAAACCAAGCCTTTGTCAGCGAAGGACGTGGTGAGGGTGAGGCATGTGGAGTCCCAGGTTGGGATCCAGCCTGATTTGTGTAAGTGCTTCTGCTTCCAGGCTCGCACGAAACTTAAGGCCCGTCGTCCTCCAGATCCAGCTTGCGGGTGCGAGATGTGCTGCGATCCTCCTCCAGCCAGCACGATACAAAAACGCCCGCACTCACGAAGGCGACTTGACGATAATTGGAGTAGAGGCTATGTAAGCTTGTGGACTTGGACTTGAGATCATGAGATCCTTGCAAGGTTCCATGTCAACAGGGGTTCCCTAGAAGTCACGCAGCTACAAGTGACTTCAACAGCATACGGCAAGTTCACAGCCTCACACCTTTTCCAAAAGAACATGCTGCAACTCAATAAATTGGCTCTGAACCATGCCACATCCCTACGATACCATGCTTTTGAACCCTTAAGCATCGCGACACATCATGCCCACTTCATGCCCCAGAACCACGAAGCATCCCTACACCACATGCTGCAAACCACGAAACATCTGCACACCGCATGCCTAAATCACACAGGGTCCGGGTCGGTAGGATTCTGTCCTCCGTGCCGAGATGTTTCAGACTACGTCGATACTCAAACCTCCTCGACACTCCCCACAGACCGGTATACCGTTCCTCATTGTTGGCGCGATCATCCTTGTACTGCAATTCTTATGTTCGGAGATGACCTCCATCAACGTCTTTTGCCTGGTATCATTGAAGCGGGCTCGGTCCGTCAAAACGAACGAAGCAAAGCAACCTGCAAGACCCCAAGAGTTTTCTGCGACCGTCTTCAGGACCGCAGGGTGCAAAATGACACAAATCCTGATTCCGAAACCTTGTCGTAGTTGTTTCAGTGAAGTTCTGCCCGCCTACAAAACACTTAGTGCTTCAAATTTTCATCTTCGAAACCCTGAACTGGAGCGCGGATTCGAGCTTTAGCTAAACTTTAGCTCCTTTATGCGATCCTGGTGCTCTGCCTCCTTCTTGCGAACCTGCTGCCTCCCTCGCTTCTCCTCGCCTCGTTGACACGTGTAAAGCGTACATACAGGAGTCATGCGGCATGCTGGATCTTGCTGGACATGCTCCCATCTGGCAGACGGCTCAAGAGAGATTCGCCTTGAGCTGAAGTGTTTCCAATGTTTCCACAAACAGCCCGCAATTTTCGCAACAGCGTGTCCTGGGACTCTCGCTCGCCTCGCACATCTCGCACGCGCGACGTGCGTGCAGCGATCGTCTCGGCCACCTCGGCACGACGCCGCGCGCTTTGCAGCTCCTGCCTCCCAGAAACGACGAAAAGCGAAGATCGGAAGGTGGGTTTGGAGAGTTCGCAAAGTGCAAAAGCCAAGACCTGGCTTTGCTGGCCGTCTCTTCGGCCTTCTTGAAGGAAGCCTCTCTCGGCAGACGGCAGACGCAGAAGCCAAACGGGATCGAATCCGATATCTGATATCCGGCCTTCAACTCCTCCACCTCCCCTCGCGATTTTCGCGCAAGCTGCTCGGCAGCTTCGGCCCCTGATTCACAAGAGCCACCTCGTGGTGCCCAGATGCAAAGCGTGTCGGCTAAGGACCCAGCGAAGCTTCCACTCTGCCATCTGCTTCACCAAGCGAGCATTCTCTGCCTGCGGGAGGCCCAGGCGCTGAAAAAACCTCGGCGCACTTCGCGATGTTCCGCCTGTTCCGGCCTCGGCCAGCTCGGCCTTCTTCCGGGTCTCCTCGACGCGCTGCGCGGCCTCCGCCAAGCAGCGCTCCAGCTGCGCCTGGGCCTCGGAGGGCGTGAGGCGGAGCGGCATACGAAAGCCCACCCTTCGGCTTTTCGAGGATGAGAGGGGGCCCGGTACGTGCCTTCTGCAGGGCTTGCCGTGCGGACTGTGCTCTTTGGCGCCAAAGAACCGGCGTTTCCAACCTGTCAAAACACCAGACCCCACGACCCGAAGCTGAGACCAATGAGCTAAGCAAGGCCAAGCAGCCCGGGCTCTTCATCAAGATCCCAGTCATCACTTCTCCAAAACCTGAGCATGCAGCAGGCCAGTGACTGCGAGACCTCGAAGGAGTGCCCACGGCACCCGCGCAATGTCTTCCTCATCTTTGCTGCACAACTCGAGCATCCGGAGACCAGCGCCCTTAACAACTTCAGCATAAAGACTGCTGCCATGTGTAGCCAACATGGGTTTCAAAACAGGCAGAAACTTCGTTCCATCCCGCCTCGCTGGAGCTGCAAAGCCCAGCTTTGCGATGTCACCAATCCTGTCCATGCACTCCTCTGCCACTAAGCAGCTACGACACATGCCGGTGCCTCCCACTGCATTGGCAGTTTTGAATGGTCCCAGGCATGTTTGGCACGAGCCTCACTGCAGCAGGAGCTCGAAACGACCCATGCTGGCGGTTTAGCAGTAGCAGTTGCACTGGCAGTAGCAGTGCGGTAGCGGTAGCGGTAGTTGTAGCAGGCAGTAGAAGCAGCAGCAGCAGCAGCAGCAGCAGCAGCCGCAGCAGCAGCAGCAGCAGCAGCAGCAGCAGCAGGAGTAGTAGTAGTAGTAGTAGTAGTAGTAGTAGTAGTAGTAGTAGTAGTAGTAGTAGTACTAGTACTAGTACTAGTACTAGTACTAGTACTAGTACTAGTCGTACTAGTAGTGGTAGTAGCAATGGTGGTGGTAGTGGTAGTGGTAGTGGTAGTGGTAGTGGTAGCGGTAGCGGTAGGGGTAGTGGTAGTGGCAGCGGTAGCAGCAGCGGTAGTCGTAGTAGTCGTAGTAGTCGTAGTAGTCGTAGTAGTAGTAGTAGTAGTAGTAGTAGTTGTTGTTGTAGCAGTAGCAGTAGCAGTAGCAGAACCAGTAACAATAGCAGTAGCAGTACCAGGAGTAGTTGTGGTAGTAGTAGTAGTAGTAGTAGTAGTAGTAGTAGTAGTAGTAGTAGTAGTAGTAGTACTAGTAGTACTAGTAGTAGTAGTAGTAGTAGTAGTAGTAGTAGTAGTAGTAGTAGTAGTAGTTGTATAGTATAGTATAGTATAGTATAGTATAGTATAGTACAGTATAGTATAGTATAGTATAGTATAGTAGTAGCATCAGTAGTTGCAAATTCGAGCTGATGACGACATTGTTCGCAGACCCCCCGAACACTATCTCCAGAAGAGCCGGTTTTCTCGGCATTTACAGTATCTTGCGTGATGTCGGACCATCTAGCCACCAAACCTGTTTCCGGACTTTCCGAGCTCGGCCTTTAGCTGTCTCTCTCTCTCTCTCTCTTTCTTTCGCGAGGGTAGAAGCAAGGGCCTCTCTCTCCTTTCGTGAAGCTCTTTGTGTTGTGTGTTTTGCCACTCCCTCCAGCGGAACAACCACTCTCGATCCACCTGCCTCGAGGCTTTCCGCCTGCAGGCTTTGAGTACCTCGCTCGGACGGCACCTGTTCAGATTTGCCCAGCAATGACCAAGATCTGACACAGAACCAGCCAGGCAATTCGCCTCGTCGACACGCGGCTGCACAGCGCTCGCACCAGCACCACAGGCCTGCGAGGAAGAGACAAGTTTTACCCTGTGGCCTGTCCCGCTCCCAATCCATTGCAAGCCTCCCGCACAGGGCCGCTGCCCAAGAGCCAGCATGTTGCATCTCTGCTTGCGCAGTCTGTGCCGCCTGCAAATGCTTGTGCCCCCTTGAAGCCCGAAAAATATTAACTTGCGGAGGAGGGACTGGGACGAAAGCTGGAAGCGTCAACAACCGAGGCTTTTCCAGTGAAGGCAAGCATGCATACACGCGTACTGACTCCAATTACAGAAACCCTAACTCTTGAACCCCTCGAATGAGCACCAATACCATCTCCCTCAATGTGGGTGACACCCACCGGGCCAAGCCATGCTCTGCTTGCGCTTCCTGTTCGTCGAGATGCAGCTGCTATTGCACATGACTGTATATTCGAGTACTCGTATAGTATAAAACGGTAGAAAACAGTATATGGAAGAGGTTGGATCAGAGCTTCATGCACACACACACACACACACATATATATATATATATATATATACATGCTCGCCCCTCCCGTTGACAGACCATGGCCTTGTGACACTGACCTCTTGGCAGGTGACTCGGCTGAGATATTGTATCTAAACACACCACACCCGGCGATAATCTGTAAAGTAAGACCTTTAAGTAGATATACAACGTATACTTTGACATGCCATGTACTCAGGACGCATGCGCCAGACGTGCGGCATATGAGTTACGCAATAGTTTTGTGGTAGTATCGCTATTAGGGTGAGTATTATTATTAATGTTAGTACTGTTGTTTGCTGTAAGTATACATATCAATATTGCCAACTATAAATTAGCATTAGTGCTTATGTTCGTGTTAGAGTTAGCGCTAGTGCCAGTGTCAATGTCAGCAATACGACACTTGAAGATGTTGGATCAGAGCTTCATGCACATATATGTATATGACATGACTGTATATGTGTACATATACACAAACATACCATAAATACATGTGAGCCGCAACCAATGGCTTCAGTTCGGGCGCCCAACATAGAACAAGTACGCGACGCGTGAGCATCATGAGTTGCAAGCATCATAAGCATCGGAGCCAGCAAGCGCACATCGCGAACATCATTGGGGGCCTCTTGGATCCCGAGCCAACAAGCCCGCATCGGGAGCATCATTGGGAGCTTCTTGGGGCCAACAAACGCGCATCATGAGCATCATCGGGGAGCCGTTTTCCACTCGGAAGCGGTCTGAAGCACCACATTCAAACACCCCAAAACGGACCCGGCGGGGGCATCCCGAAAACCAGCACCAGGTGGGGGATAGCCCGAATACACGCAAAAAGTGCCCACCTGGCCGGGGCCCCTTCCCCACACCCCCAGATGCAACCTTTCGGTTGGTAAGGAACTCAGCTAGCCACGGAGGCTAGCTTTCGTGATAACGTTGCAACCGATTCCACAACGGCCACCTGTCTTCTGCCTCGGAGAGGGACTCGGAGGTCTGGCTCTATGCTGAGAAACTTGCCACCTGACAGCCCCAGTCACATCCAGGATTATCTCCTGACAGCAGTGTCTGCTGTTGCCTTCTGGTATTTCCTCTGCCAAGATCAAGCCGCTGATGCCCTGTGACCCTTTGCCTGGAGCATCTGGCGGGCGTCGCGTCTGCCACAGGCAAACCGCACCTAACCTTGAACCAAACTCACAAAAACAACCTTGCAACATGCTGGCTTTCAAGATCGGCTTCGCACAGAACCAAGCTGATGCCACCCAGCAGGAAGGGCCACAACGGTGTCCTTAAACCGCAAAGACGCGGCGAGAGCTTGGCCACGAGGTTTCAGCTCTCTGTATGTTGAACTCTCGTTCGCCACACTACCGCCTTACTCGAACTCCAGCAAGCATCGGGGAGGACCCTGGTATGCTGTTCTCTTCTGGACAACCTGGAGTTGCTGAGGCCTGGGACCCTCGCTCCGGTCGCGTCCTGAAAGGCCACTTTTTTGTACCCTTGAGGGCCGCATCCTCGCCCTGTAGGCAGCGTGCCAGTTGGGCCCGCGCCTCGCACGGTACAAGAAACAAGTCAGGGAGGCACATCGAGGCAGTACAGTACACGTCCAGGGACACAAAACCTCCCTCTCACAACTGCATCCCTTGGCTACCAACGCACTCGCTTCCCTGCTCTAGCCTCATCACGCTCCTCTCGCAGGTTTCCTGCGGAGTCCGCGTTTGCCGGGTCCTTCGGTTGCATATCATTGCATCACGATGGTGCCGAGGGCATGCTGACACTTGTATGCCGCTGCGGTCCAGACCACCCCAGCCGACTGCCCAGCCAGGCGGTTGCGCAAAAAGCGGAGCTGGTACCAAAGCGAAGAGCAGCAGTCGCATGGCTCGCCATGAGGGTTTTGAGTTTTGAGCTGCACAGGTCTAGTTTCGGGAAAAGATCAGGAATTCGACCAAAAACACAAAGCTCCGACCAGGGCTGCAAGTCACCCAATGCATGAGCGACATATGACGGCCTTGAGCCCAAGTGATGCCTCGAGGACCAACCATGCATTCTGGAAGCTCGTCCTCCTGGCGGCTTGGGCCTTGGCCTTCGATGTTGACCAAGGCGACGCCCTGCTCGAGATCACCCCATTAGGCATGAAAGCTAAATCAGGCAAAGACTCTCTGATGCCCACCCAGCCACCACCCTGAGCCCGACCGAGATTCTGCACTGGATGCTCAAGTACATAGAGGCCCCGAGTGGGCCAGAGCAAGACTCACAGCAAATATTCCAGGGCCAGGGCAATGCAAGCCAACTTTTACCAAATCCACTAAATCCGAAGAAAGTGCTGCAGAGTTTTGCAATTGGTGCTTGCTCTGGCCGAGCCTAGGAACAACATCAAGGCGGCTCCAGTGCCCAGGCGACAAATGAGTCCATGAGCCTCCTGCGCTTCCGGAAGAATGGTGCCTACAGCGCAAAAGCACTGCTGGTCGGAAGCTCCTTGAAAGACCATTGATTGCAATTCACCTCGGTCGGCAGCACCGAGATGAGGCTGAGGGATGCTGCAAAACAAAGGCGGCAACCTTTTCCCCGGCAACTGCAAACTTTCAGAGTTACACACGGAGACCCAACATGCACCAGGACTGTGTCTGTGCCGCGGTCATGCTTAATGATTAAGAAGTCTGTACGAGTTGCCAACGGTATGAGAAAGCCTTGAATCCCATGCCGCCCGTGCCTTCTGGAATTTACAAACCGAGGCTGCCAGTCGTTTGCACAACAATAGACAGACGCCCCGACCTAGTGGAAGGTTCCAGGAGAGTCGTTCTCACGTGTGCCACTTCTACTTCGCTCCGCCTTTTGTCCAAGCTCGGTCCCAGCAAACCTGCAACGAGCATCAACGAGCAGCAAGCATTTCTGCAAGCAGGGGGCCGCAAGAAAACCCGCAGCGGCTTGGTGACGGTGGCCCGCGCAGGCACGGCATCGCAAATTCATTTCGTTGAGTTCCTGCTTTGCTCCCGCCAAAGGTGACAAAACCAATACTCTGTATATCGAGCCAGTGCTAACATGACATGGTGACATGGTCATCCCACGCTACATGAGCCGACTTTCTGAAAGGGTCGGGCGTTGTCTTGGCTTCCTTTGCCGTGTTCTTTGCAGGCTTGTGGAAGGCGGCTTTGCGAGTGCAAACAGGCAGCCGCACATGAACTGTCATGACATGAACGCCGTCCGCCTGACCCAGCTGACGGTAGAGCGGCGCGATATCGCCTGACAACAGCGACAGTGCGCAGCTTTTGGTGGCGATAAACCCTCGCAGCTGGCTTGTGTCTGAAATCTTGTGCTCAGCCACTGCACTCTCGATCGGGTTTTTGGTGCTTCTGCCAGCACATGCGCGCGATGTGCACATTCGCCGCGTGCTCTGTTGGCAGGGCAGACAGCCGCATAAGCAGCCTGGCACCAGCCCCGGAGAATGTCGGAGTCAAGCACCGGCACCACTTGGAGACATTAATTCGTCTTCGTAACTCTTGTAGACCAAGCTTTTGCCTCCAACATTCACGCAGAGCTCACAGGCTGCAAATGGCTGCAACCCAGTACCAGTGCACTGACATGCACGCTCCCTGTACAGCTCCAGATTCAATGCGACAGCCGATGGTACGCACAGCACAAAGCAAAGCGGTCCGCGGCCGGGGAGTTGTCCTCTACCCAAGCCCGAAATCAAAGAGGAGGAAACGCCACCTGGCAGAACTGCGAACACTCCAAAGCAGGAAAATATGACTCTTCCTGCCTCCACCAGCACCAGTTCAGCCAAAGCGACAAAGGCGGCCTTCGAGAAAACCAGACCAGGCCTGGAAGAATGCCCAAAGAGTCGAAGGCACAGCGTCCCGCCCCCTCCCGGAGCTTTGAGAACCATGCCAGCGAGCGCCCCTGCACCGATACTGAGCAGGGTGAAGCCAAGGACCCCCTCCCAAACATCCCAGAGGTCCCTGACCAGGCACAGCGAGGCGGAAAGGCGCAGTATGCACGCAGTATGCATTCTTGCACTCAACAGGTGCCTCGCTTCCGCTGGCTCGACCGGCCCAGGTCCTCGGACAAGTGCTCAAAAGGGGCCGCAAGCTGCAGAGTTCATTCCGGCCTGGGCCACCTTGGAACATCTGGTTCAACTGGTTTAACATCTCCTCCGCGGATAGTCGGCTGAAGTAGGAAGTAGTCACTCACCATGAGTAGCTTCGTAACACAGATTGGTTTCTGATCCAGAGCTTCTGAGTACACTTCAAAAAGAAGGGGATGCTCTTAGCTGCATGGAATAGCCGACATGCGCACACTAATTAATACCTTCTGAAACTTCAGCTGAAGTGCACGACAACCCTCTGTCATCGTCCTGCAGTTGTTTTCGTAGCGTCTTCCTCTTCGTTTTGTTCTGACATCACATGTTGTATTGCTGTGATTCCGTGGCTGTGAAAGGCTTGGGCTTCACAAGGCTACCTTCATCACTGACAGAGACATTGGCCTGTTCAGGGCACCGCTTGCTGTCCTCCAAGTCCGCGAAGTTGCTGGCATCCATGTAGTCCTGAACAGTTTGGGGCAGAGGCCAGGTTTTACATAGAGTTCCTCGGTCTGCGACACCGAGTCCTCGTCGGGCCCGTCGGCGTCACGAGCAAAAGCAGAGTCCTGTTCACGCTTATATGGCTTGCGAAAGCGGCCTACAAGAGGCCTTTGAAGATGTAGCAGGTCGGAAGATCGGCTAGCTGCAATTGAAATAATATACGAGCATATTCTACTAGTTTTCATGTCATCGGAGTCCTGGATGCCGAAGCTGTCGTAAAGCTTCCGGCGTGTTGGATCCGCCAAAAGCTCGTGTGCCTTTTGATCACTGCCGGTAGAGGCGAACGCTGAAGCGAAGCCCGCAAAAGCCCGCCTCAGCAAGCTGCTTGAAGCTCTCCTGCGATGAAGCTTCGAAGGCGCGGCACGCACATGCGCGCGCACACGCGTAGCGGCCGTAGCGTGCTGCGACCTCTGAGACTGACAAAAACGATGACCCATCGGCCACGCCTCGGCGGCCTCTTTCTCGGCATCGGGCGCCTGGCCAGGGATCCGCCAGCAATGCGAAGCTCCCTCCAAGACTTGCGAAGCTGCGCGCAGCGGTTTCCGCATTCCGGGCTCACAGCCCCGCCTTGTCTGGATGATGAACTCGTGCCTCTCACGACGCCTCCCCTCTTCTGCTCTTCCGTGAAAGCCCGATGACGGATCAAGCCTTCTGCCGCCATGCACGCTCAATGGTTCGCGGAGATGCGTCCTGCGAGATTGCGAGAGTGCGTTTGGATTTGACAAGGTTTCCTCTAGTGGCCTGACTCCTCTGCTGCCTGCAGCTGAATGCACAGCATCTATTTTGCACCCTCAACCCGCGCCCTAGAGGTCTGGATACATGATTTGCAGGGGGGCATGTCAGTCCCTGGAGACGCCAAGGATGGCGTAGGGGCACGTAGAACTGCCAAGATGTTGGCAAGCAACATCAGTCAAAGTGGCCACAACCTCGTCACTGGCCTGGACGAGCTGCCATGTGCCATGCCCAACGCTAGGAACGGACAAACCTATGCCTGACTTTGCGCGTTGCTGTTGTGTGTTGCAGATCCACAAGGGTTGAGCATGCTGTGAGAATCGACAGTTCGGAGTACTGCCATCTACCTGGCACGTGGATCGTTGACGTGCTTGGCGGCTTGGCACCTAGGCTTAAATATCACATTGCAATGTCCCTCAGATTGACGAGCATCAGCTGCAAAACTGCTGCGCCAACAGAGATCTGGCGGATCCGGCATCCGATTTTTTGCTGCACTGCGGGCTCCAGCTAAAGCAACCAAAGGAGCCCGTGCCTGTACAGGGGCCCTTACATCCGTCGCGTAGTGCTGGCTGTCTGGCCAATCCGCATGGCATGAACTCCAGAAACACCAGAGACTGGAGCGGTAGTCTACTGCCCGGAGCGTCTCACATCTCGGCGGAGCATGAACAAGACTTTCTGCACATATGCCTCGAGCCATGAACTGTAAGGCATGCCGGCAATCCACTCCTGGCAGGGCATGGGCTCTGAGACGGCACCTGCAAACTATGGATTGAAACCCCCAAAGCCCACTTTTCCCCGAGCCCTTGTCCGCGGGAAGTTGGCTGAAACCCAGGCGGCACCCAAGTAGTGCACCAGCGACGGCGCCATTGGTGTCGGCATCTCCACCGGCCAAGACCAACTCGTTCAGGACTTTGCGAAAAAGCTGGCCTGACTGGGCCTCAGCCTGGGCACCCTCGGACTGCTTCAAGGCCCATAGACCAGCACCAAGACATTTGAAGGTGAAGCCGATCGTCTTCCGATCGTCCAAAGCCAGATCTTTCAACTCTTTCGCCTCCACATGCCGCTGCAGTTCCTGCCTCTCCATGTCGCCAAGGCTGCCCTGTGCCCTTTCAAGCGCAGGTTGCACTACTGACTCTACGATGTCCGAAGAGTCCTCTCCGCGCAGGAGTCGACTCACACAGAGAGCAACTGCAACGCAGCTGGCCACACATCTAGGTTCTGCATGAGTTGTGAGGCAAAGCGTCTCTGCGGCTGCAGCCACGGTGTCTTCACACCAGAAATGTGGGATTCCCGCAACTGCGGTCCTCACGGGAAGCAATGCCGAATGCAGGAGATCAATGAAGGGTTGTTGTGACAACTATGGCAACCATGGTCCTCATGACACCTCCATTGGAAGGGATGCCTGCAGAGTGCGCCGCGGCTGCCGTGTGCGGGGACGCAGCAAAGCTGGGGTCATTCAGAACGGCTTTCGTGGTTTGTCCCAGACCTGCAGCCGATTGATCTCCCAGCTCTGGAAAGCCCGAGGTCCGCCAGGACAACAGGCGCCTTGCAAAGTCGCAGGGATCCGCA